GCCCACAGCCACCACACTGCGCCCGAAGCTGCTTCCTGCACTCGTAGCCCGTCACACTGCGCCCACAGCCACCACACTGCGCCCGAAGCTGCTTCCTGCACTCGTAGCCCGTCACACTGCGCCCACAGCCCACTACACTGCACCCGAAGCTGCTTCCTGCACCCACAGCCCACTAAACTGCACCCACAGCCCACTACACTGCACCCGAAGCAGCTTCCTGCACCCACAGCCCGCCACAGTGCACCCAAAGCCAGCTTCCTGTACGTGAAACCTACCCTGCTGCACCCACAGCCAGTTCCTGCACTCACAGCAACCATGCTGCACCTGCAGCCTGTTGTCTGCTGTGCTGCACCCAAAGTCCATAGCCCACCACGCTGCTGGTAACAAAATACGCTGTGCACACAACAGAGTCTGTGGCTGTAGAGCTGGGGGAAGAACAGCACTTGACTAGGAAGCGGAGGGGGAACACAACTAGAAAGGGTTTAGGGAAAAATATTTAGGAAAGCTCACCGGGGGGGGGGGGGGGGGGGGGGGGGGAGGTGTCCAGGCACACACACAGCCTGCTGACCCAAATGCCAAGGAAGCGTCCAGTCCTACCTTTCCACAGACACGTCCTTTACATGCACATGCCACCTCCACCCCCGTGAACACAGCCTGTCCGCATCCCAGCTGCACTACCATTCCAGCCCTCCCTCACACTAAATATCATCATCCTCCTCTTTATCGGGTTTGCACACTTACCACTGGTGCCCCCCAACCCCCCCAAATTCAGTGGGTGGCTGTCCAAGGTGTGCCAGCGTTTTTTTGGGGGGGGGGGGAGATTTGCTATGCGGTGTTTGCAGAGGGGGCAGTAAACCCCAAACAGACACACCAGGGAGAAGTCGGCAAATGTATAAATCCTGATTAGGAATTCAGCGTGTCGCAAAACTAACAATTATGGCCGGAATAATGCAGAATAAACAGGAAAGCATGCATTAATGCTGAACAATGCCCGTTTTATGTGCAGCTTCAAATGATATCAGTGCAGGAGGACGTTTTTATGATTCCTATTACAGTCGGCTATCGCTACCCGGCTTGAGACACACCCAAATTTTGCTGCAGGCAATTTCAAATCCGGTTGACAGCTGGCTAAGCGATTAGACTGTAGACACAGATCGGCAAAAAGACCCACATTGTGCACATGTAAATAATCTTATTATTAGAATCCACACAAAAATTGCAAATACCACATTATCAACTTCGTGGGTACTCGGATTTTTAAAAGGCTGCCTTTTCTGAGCGACTCACCCACCGTGAAAACATGGCCACAGAGCCATGATGGCTACTGGCCAGCAGGGGTGAGCTGGGCTGCAAAATTGTCTTTAAGTTGTTAATAAAACCACCTCCAGAGCACAGCAACACCGAGGTCAGTTACAGGCTACTGGGCCTGCTCTGT